GAAGTGCTTGGGCAGGAAATGGCACTTCCCGTTTAGCGTCCCATCAATGCAAATTGGCTGGTGAGGAGCTTGGGACTCTGCAACATATAAGGAGTAAAGGGATCTGTACTGAGAATTCTGACTGTGTAGAGTGTTCTGGAAGGATGCACTGGAAACTGGTGGTGGCTCCTCCAGGGAGCAGAAGAGAGAACGAAACTCAGTGTTCACAGTGTGTACCCTTTTGTAGCTTTGAATTCTGAATCATCTACATGGGTTACCTATTCATAAGATAATAACATTTCTTAAAGAATAGCATTTGAACCCACCAATTCAAAAAAAAACAGCCCTAAATTAGCAAATCCCAAATTTCCTCTCGTCTGAGTCATAGTAGGAATCAGGGAAGAGGAAAACACTCAAATCTATAGTGAGAGCTTGAAATTTACTTCTGAATTTCAACCAGTATTTCCAGCTGCCAGAAGCTTCTCAGAACATCTGGAGGTCCCACCCATGGGAACCTCAAAAACAACATGCCCCAATCCCACTTCATTCCCTCTTTCTTCCCTCTTCCCTCCAAGTAGGATCCTCCTCTAATATTCTCAGTCACTATTACAATAACTACCCACTTAGCTTCCAAATCCAAAACCTTAGCATTACTCAGGGACCCTCCCCTCTCCTCACCCCTATGAGAGTCACCCAATGTTGTTCATTCCATCTCAGTGATTCTTTGCACACTGGTGCCTTCTTGTCTTATCCCACTGACCCTTTCTAGTTCAATACCTTATAAACTAGATCCTTTCAGTGGAATGTGAGTTCCCTATCTTTTTTTCTATCCAGTTCATCCCCTAGTCCCACACACACACCCCCCACACCACCACCACCACCACCACCACCACCTCCACCACCTCATTCTTCTCAAACAAGATTATCCAATCGTGCCTAAGAACCTTGGATAGCTCCCTACTGTCTACATAATTAAACCCAAAGGCCCTAGTTTGACAAATGACCATTTACACTGAGGCCTGAAGAAACATTTCATCCCTCATACATTACCTGTGTTCTGGCCTCTCTGGTCTAGCGAGCCTCAATCATTCATGCCTCTGTGTGCCTGTACAACTTTGCACTTACCGTTTCCTTGACTTGAAAGTTTTCCCTTCCCTTCACACCCTGCTTTGTCAAAAAAAAAAAAAAAAAAAAAAAAAAAAAAAAAAAAATATATATATATATATATATATATATATATATATATATATATATATATCCTATCTCCCTTTCCAGAATGCCCTTCCCCGCCCCCCCCCCCCACACACACACACTCAGTTTATACCTCTTGTGAAAAGCCTCTCGGGACTGCTCTCTCCTCTGAGCTCCTCTAAGACTTTGTACACAGCCCCATTATAGCCCTAGCCGCACTCTCTTATAATTATTTATGCTGCTATCTCCTCTGCCAGAATGTGAGCAGCTCTAAAAAAACACCTGCTATATTTTATTCATCTCTGAATCCACTGCACCTCCCTGCTAGCACTGCACATAAATGTTTGCTGAATGAATTGGCTAAAAGTACTTCGATAAAAATGTAACACATTATCCCAAAATTTTATAGACCTCTGTGGCTAAAATCTCATTTCTTTGCCCTCTTACTCCGCACACAGACCAATTGGCACACTATCACCGGTCTCAGGAGGGCCAGGTATTCAAAGGGAGCTAACAAAATGCCTACTATTTGTAAACAGGGCCATTTGTAAACCCTCTGGGCTAGATTTAGAGATTGCCTTTCCAACGCTGACAACACTCCTTTGAGCCTCACTCCACTCTAAGATGCATTTCTTTTCCAAGTGTCTGGAGTCCTATAAGTAACCTTTGTTTACCCTGAAAACACTTTCAGGGAAGCTGAAAGGAGCTTTAAAAAAAAAAAAAAAAAAAAACAATGTAGAGACTCTGTAGGGACCCACCTAGTCAGTGAGCTCCATGCCCACCTAAAAGGAGGAGGGGGCTTTGTAAGCTCAGCTCCAATCTCTGCCCACTCGCTCCACCATCAGCTACTTAACTGCTTAAGCCTCCAAGGGCTCTCTGCTCCCAGGGAAGACCATGGCAGCCTGTAAATCACAAGATTACTGAAGTAAAACAGCATCGTAAGTAAAGTGATAACCCCTGTGGCCTGAAGAACAGTGGTCATTTGGGTTCCTGGCCCCAATTCCAACATTGGAGAGGGACCACTCCCGCAAACAAGGAGCACTTCTCAGGCACCAGCTGGGTGTCCTACAATTTAACTCCATGCTGACACTGTCTACCCAGAGTTAGCATCAGTTCCATAGATAAAGGCTCGGTCCTACAAGCCTGCCTCCCATCCACTTCAGACCCCAGTCACAAGTCCAGGTTGTCCCTGATGCTCTAGCCCAACCTGCTTTAGATGGGAGGCTCCCACAACCACTGCCTTGGGTCTCAAACACCAGTCTATTGTGACCTATGCTTCTGACTGACTGGCTATAAACCAGAAATTCCCATGAGCTCCTCCTCAGGTTTGATTAATTTGCTAGAAAACTAAGAGAAACTTTTTATTTACCAGATCACTGGTTTATTATTTTTTAAAGTATGATAAAAAACAAAATACAGATGAGCATCCAGTTGAAGAGACATGTGGGGCATGTATGTGTGTGTGCGGGGGGGGGGGGGGAGATGAAGAGCTTCCCAGAAGCTCCGAACACCATCCTGTTCGGTTATTATACAGAATGAGCAATTAAATCGCTGGCCATTGGCAACAGAGTCAACCTGCAAACCTCCTCACTCCCAGAGGCCAGGAGAGTAGGTCTTAAAGTTCTAACCCTCCAATCACAGGGATGCTTCCCCTGACAACCAGCTTACTTTGTTAGATGACCTAAGGGCTTTCCAAAAGCTGCCTCATGAATATAACAAGAGACATTCTCTCTCTCACCAAGAAAATTTTCAAAGGTTTTAGAAGCTCTGTATAAGAAATGGGCACAAAGACCAAATGTGTATTTCTTATTATAAATCACATTATTACAAATGGGTAACAAATGAGATTACAATTAGGATCAGGCACTCATTTGAATGGAGCACTGGGGGCAGTGACAGCACCGAACCTCAAGGTCTTTGCTTTTGCTCTTCTCTTTCCACCTGGAACGTTCCCTGTGAGACAGTCTGGCCTCTACTCAAATGTCACCTCACAAGAGACTGCCCTAATGATTCAATCCAAAAAACCATCTCACGTCACCTTCTTTATATGTCTTCATAGCATTTTTAGCACATCACCGCACTATATGCTACCATAATATCTACCTATCTCAACAATTTTCAACCAGGGTGCCACAGGAATTTTTAAAACATACAATGCCTGACTATTCAGTCAAGGACACTGACCTCTCTTCCCGTTGGTTGTCAAATTTAAAAAATGACGACAGCCAATACAACAATTGCCATTCTCTGTGAACAAGTCAAAAATATACCTATTTTTTGTCATATCAGCAAAAAATCTATTTTCTGGTGTGCTGCAGAATTTTAGTCATTAGTTTACATGTGCCATGAGGTGGGAAAGGTGGAAAATCGCTGCTCTGTTTATATATTTATAAATTTATAAAATCACTGCTTATATATTTATAAAATCGCTGACCTTTGTCTCTCCCATTCTCCCAGGAGGGCAGGGACCCTGTATTGTCCCCAGACTACCCAAGCACATAGTAGTCTCCCAATAAATATTTGCAGGAAGCACAAAAAGAAGTATAATTCAGAGCACTCAAGTCCTTTACACTTTCAGGGAAGTAGTAAGACACAGTTTAACATGTTAAAGCTAGCATGGTTAAATACATGTAACCGGTGGGTAATAAAGAGAATAAACGACAGATTTTCCCCAAAGAGAGATTGTGCACAGGACGGCAGGGGAGTGTTTGTCTGAGAAGACCATCGCTGTCCACCTTGAAGGCAGTAGAAATCTCAAAAAGCTTGAGGAAAGGGCCTACGGTGCTTCACACTGAGAGACTGTGCAACGCCACCTGTCATGAGGCCAAGTCATTAACAAGAAGGGGTTCACAGCTTGCCCTCGGGTCCCCATGATAGAGCAGCACAGAAGCATCACTCGCTTCTCTCTGCACGCCTCGCCCACCCACTGTCCAGGAGAGAAAGGATAAAAGTCCCAAAGATGAATTCCCTCGATGTAACCTGATAGAGCTCAAGAAGAGTCACAAACTATATGAATCTAGCGGTGCTGGGTAGGGTGGAGGAGTGTGCAGAAAACCAGGAGGGCAGGGAGAGCACGGCACAGAATTCTGAGTTTGGGGTGACGTGAGGACCACGGGAGAGGGGTTATTAATAGGAGCTGCCATGGTATGTGATCTCCTCGGTGTGAGAGGAGCCTGCTCCTGCGAGAGACACATATGTCAACGTTGGCTTTGCCCCCATGCCCGTGTCTCCTCATCAGGAAACGTGGAGATAATAACAGCACCTACTCCACTGGGTGGCCATGTGGATTAAATGAGTGGGTGAGCCCGACTGGTGTGGCTCAGCGGTTGAGCATCAGCCTGTGAACCAGGAGGTCACGCTCAATCCCCAAGGGGTGGGGGGGAGGGGGGGAGGGGCGCATGCAGGAAGCAGCCGATCAATGATCCTCTCCCATCATTGATGCTTCTATCACTCTCTCCTTCTCCCTTCCTCTCTAAAATCAATTAAAATATATACATATATGTTTTTTTTAAATGAGTTGATAAGAGCAGAGCCTGCAAGATAGGAATTATCCTGATTATTGGAATTTCTGCTTCTTTCATTGAAACATTGCCTGTATGGACTGTGGCTTTATGACAGCTACACATGACTCGCAGAGGTCCCGTGTGCCCAGGTGAGGAGCCTGAGTGTTCAGAAAGCTCTTCCCTCTCGGGGTGAGTGCTGTGCTCCTCACTGGCCAAAGGGTGTAGTCAGGGGGGGAAGAGGGCCTGGTCACTTTCAAGAAAAGGAAGCGTTGGTTACTTTGTAGTGTGGCGTCTCCCGCCAGCCCAGGCTCCCCGCGTGGCACTCACGGTTCCGGGGTGTAGAGGGGGTCAGAGCTGTGCCGGATGTACTGGGTGCAGTGGAACACCCTGTAGGCCAGTCCCGCCAGGAAGTCTCTCGGACTCAGGTATCCAGCCACCGGCCTCACCGTGAAGCCAGATCTTTCTAAAGAGGCAACAGAAAGAGCCAACTAAATATCAGGCCAACAGGACTTGCTGGGCCAAGCAGAGCCTCCCGTTATTTATAAGAAGGTTCTGGAAACAAAGTAATCAGGTTCCCACACCTCCTGACAAGTGAATGACATACACAGCTGACCCTTGAACAGGACGGGTTTGAGTGCCCGGGTTCATTTACACGTGGATTTGCTTCAATAAATACAGTCAGCCCTTTCTATCCGCAGGCTTCACACTCACAGATTCCAGGAACTGCGATCAAAAGACCTATTTTCACAGTCCCAGCCGCATTTTCCCAACCACAGTTCAAAAATCCTGTTTGATCTGAAGTGTTTGAATCCGGGATGGGAAGGGCCAACTGTAGAGTCAAGTCACATGTGATTTTTCGATTGTGCAGGGGGCCCTGGATTGCTCAAGGGTCAACTGTACCGCTAACAGCTATCACATCAGTGGCTTCTGATTACTAAACTACACTGTCAAGGGATGGTTTCCAGGGGAACAAGACATCTATGAAAATGGAAAGAAAAGGTGAAAAAAGACTGAAGGATTTAAATACAGAAGCCAACTTAGGACAAGAACGCTCCAATACACAGGAGAGGATTACAACCTAAAGTGATGCTTACCACGTATTACTGGTATCTTTTTAAACCACCACCAGCCCCACCACCACACCGTCCCCCAGGTAGGGCTCCTTCCTTCAGGTATATGGTCAGTTAACAGCTCATTCACTCCCTTCACGGGCTTCGTGGAATCAGTTCTCATCCCAGCTTCCTACTGTCAGTACCATCTAACTCCTTCATTCTGTGTTATTGTTTCTGTGATATTATGAAAATAGTCACATCAATGACTCCAAATTGAAGAGGGACATGAAAGCCCTACATGCTTTATTGGTTTATAGTAAGAGGGAATCAAATAAGCAGAATATAATAAAATCTATTAAACTGCTCTATGCTGCTAACTCAGTTAAGCTGTGGATGGATCATCAGCGTCTTGGTTTAAGGGCTACTTCCTGCTTCCTCCTGGTCCAGGCCCAGCGCGTTTACCACAGGAAAGCCCATCTTCCCTCGGACACCAGCCCACCACAGGCTCCCGTTCTGTAAACCTCCCCGCATCAGGAGAGCACTTAGAATGTCCTGAAATGGTTGATAAAGACAAAAAGCAGTTAAGCTGATAAAACCAGTCTCCGTGGAGTTTTTGGTGTCTACATGGACATTATCCTGTCCTCGGGCCTCCTCAGACCCATCACCCTCACAGTGTTATGCTCCTTCCAAAGCTCTCGCTTTGGGTTGTTCCCTGCTGGATAGCAAACAGATAAATGTATTTTCTCCTTTTTCTCTTTGGTATCCATTAAGTCAGCCTGTCCACGTGTGGGACATGAGTGTGATACACAGAGGAACAGTCTTTATTTTAATAATTATGTATTTTATGTTTATATAAATCTTTAAAAAGATGAATCTATCACAGCAAGAACTTTGAATTAGTGGATACCATTGCTTAAAAAGTTTTCTTTTCAAATAAATTAGATATTTTAAAAGTCAGTCAATGTAAAGCAATAGAAACACTGACATTGTGCTCGCTATGAACCAATGAGTGATGTAAACCACACTCCCAGTATCCAGTTCACCAAGGGTCATGAGAAACAGCAATAATAGTGATAATAATAACGAAGACTCCACTACACTTAATGTGTGTCAAACAATAATGTTAGGGCTTTAAGTTATATTGGTTAGTTTCCCCTCCCAACCTTCGTGAGCTGGATAAAAGTATTATGCTCATTCACAGAGAGGAAACCCAGAGGCACAGAGATGGTAAGTGACCCCTCTAAGGCTGCAGAGCTAGGAGCTGGAAGCAGGCGGGCTCCTCCAAAATCCATGCTATACGCTATTCCACCTCTCATAAGAAAAGTGCTAAGTTGGGAGACAGAGATGGCAAAACTCATGGGCTGGTGTTCTAATTCCAGGGTCTGAGAAACACTGCAGTAGAAAGCAATCCGAGTATGTGAGCGATCAGATAACTATGTAATATGCACATGGCTCTGCAGGAAACAAAGAGGGGCATGCCAGAGGCAGGCTATCGGGGGGAAATGTAATCTAGCTAAACAATATAGCAAGTCTGATTCTCCGTCTCTGTCCCTCAGTCACACACACCGTGAGTGATGCTCACCCTCCCTGGAGCTGAGTGTGGTGCCCAGCTGTCAGACCACCATCTCCCTCCTGATACTCACGTGACCTGGGAGAGCTCAGGATTCATAGAGGAGCAGGATTTGTCCTGAGCCTCAAAGAGCAGGTTGAACCTGAGTAGGTGAAAATGGGCTGACTCTTCTAGCCAGGGGCAGAGCTTGGGCAAAGGTTTGGAGGGCCAACGGCTGGAACAGAGGGCTGTGAGCAGCTCAGTCATGGCAGGAGACAAGCTCGGAAAGCTGGGTCAGGGCCTTGAATTGAAGCTGAGCAGTTCAGAACATGGCGTGTAAACCAGAGCTCAGCACACTAGGGCCTGTAGTCCAAATCCCGCTTGCAGCCTGTTTGTGTCCATCCATGAGATGGAAATAGTTCTTCCATTCTTTAACCGTCATATTTAAATGGTCATATAAGCACCTAAATAGTAGCCTTCATTTTGCCTCTCGGCCCACAAAGCCTAAAATATTTACCATCTGGCCTTTTTTGGGGGGGTGGGGGGGTGGGGGGGGAGTTTGCCAGCCCCAATAAAAACAAAGGAGAGGCACTGGTACTTCTGAGCAGAGATGCCAGGAAGAAAGGCATGTGACAGGAGCTTTATCTGGAAGCAGTGAACAGGAGACTGCGCAGAGGGGAGAGGACACTGGCGACAAGCTTAGAAAGTGAAGGGACTCCAGCTTGAGCGGTGGCATTGGAGTGGGAAGAAAAGACAGGTTCACAGTGGGCCAAGCTCCGAGTGGCAACACTTCAGAGAGCACGGTACGTTTGATAACGGCCCTCCAAACATACCCATGGCCTGAACCTGTGGATGCGTTTCCTTACGTGGCCAAGCGGACTTGGCAGGTGTGATAAGTGACGGACGTGACGTGCAGAGCTGACCCTGGATTGTTCAGGCCAAGCTGGTGTCGTCACAAGGGTCCTTCTTATAAGAGGGAGGCGGGAGAGTCAGAGTCAGAGGGGCATCTGGGTGTCCGTGGAAGGCAACAGAGGATGCAGGCCGGGACGGAAGCCGGGGTGACGCCTCACCTTTCAGGAACATGGAGACATCCTCCAGCTGAGGCACGTTGTCCTCCCGGTAGCCACAGTATTTCGTCAGCAGAGGGAAGTTTTTCAGGTACTCCCGGCAGGCGTGGGTGGGGTAGAGTTTGGAGAGCTCCCGGAATACAACGCCCCAGGTTTTCGTTTCTTCCTCCGTGTACTCCACCCTGGGGATGGGCTGGCCGCTGGGCGGGAGAGAAGACGAATGAATGAATCTAGCTCTGGGTCACCGAGTTCAACGTATGTCCGCCTTCCTTCCTATCGCACGTCAGATTCTTACAAAGTGGGACGCCTGAGTGTCTAAAAGGATCCCATCAGTATTGTTATTGTTTTTTAATATATACATTTTTAATATATTTTATTGATTTTTTTTTTTTTTTTTTTTTTTTTTTTTACAGAAGGAAGGGAGAGGGATAGAGAGCTAGAAACATCGATGAGAAAGAAATATGGACCTGCTGCCTCTTGCACACCCCCTACTGGGGATGTGCCTGCAACCAATGTGCATGCCCTTGACCAGAATCAATCCTGGGACCTTTCAGTCCGCAGACCGACACTCTATCCACTGAGCCAAACTAGTTTCAGCTATTTTTTAATATATTTTGATTGATCTCAGCGAGAAAGGAAGAGGGAGAAACACAGATACATCAATGATGAGAGAGAATCATCAGTTCACTGCCTCCTGCACACTCCCCAAGCTTGCAACCAGGGCATATGCCCTGACCGGGAATCGAACCATGACCTCCAGTTCATGAGTCAATGCTCAACCAGTGAGCCACGCCAGCCGGGCCCATCACTATTATTTTTTAAAGTTAAGTGCTAACCTTCTAAAATTGGAACGTGCTTTCAGACTTCCATAGGAATGGTTTGATTAAGTTACAGCTTCACACATCCTTATGGAAATTGGATAAGATTTATGCTCTTACTCTGAGATCAGTAACGAGTGAGAGCCGTGGGTTGGAAGGAACGGTTTGGGTACAAAGCTGTGCTTGGGGAGCCTTATCGGCAATCACCTGACAACAGTAACAAATGAATGTTGTCACTTGAAAATGAAATTGCCTGTGGGTTCTCTTTGTCCCATGTGGGAAACTCACCCCAATCTCCAAGTGTAATTTTAAGATTATTTGTTCAGTGAGAAAAATATCTGAGAAATACTAAAAGACTATGCTAAGTTTAAAACTAAAGAGTTTTGCAAACTGCAACATAGGAGCATTTATTACACATCACGCTGAGAGATGTGCACAGTAAGCCCCTCAGTGGAGAAGAGAGGTCAGCAAACTTCCTGTAAAGGGCCAGAAAGTATATGTTTTAGGCTTGTGAGCCATATAGTCTCTGTCACGATTGTTCAATTCTACCATTGGATCGTGAGAGCAGCCACAGACAGTACTAAACAAATGAATGTAGCTATGTGTTTTCTTTACATATTATCCATATTTTTTTTGCATTTAATTTTTCAGTTGCAGTTTATACTTAATATTAGTTTGTATTAGTCTCAGGTACATAGCTATATGTCCTAATAAAACTTTCTTTCCAAAACCAGGCAGTGGGCTAGACCTGGCCCACAAACAGCATGTGCTGATGCTTGGGTTAGACTATGGAGAGGTGGCCCTGGACTGGAGTGGTCAGGGAGAGCTGCCTGGAGGAGGCACAACATCAGCTGAGCCTTGGTGGCCAGGTGTGATCTGTAGGTTCATGACGGGAAGGAAGGAAAGAAATGCTGCTCTAACAGCAGCCATGAGGAGGGAGCACAGTTCCTGTTGCAACCTGGAAGGGAGCACAGACATGAGCTTTTGCAAACTACTGCTTGAGGGTCCAGAATCTGAATTTAGCCTCTGATTAAAATGCCTGTTTGGAAAGTGAAATTAGGGTTTGAGAAAACCTCTCACGACATGCTCAACAGTCACCTGCAGCTCTCCCCTCTGCCTACCCTGGCCACTTTTCAGAAATTCTGCCCCTGAAGTCAGCAAATATATATACACACACGAATGAAAGCACAAATATATACACAGAAAACTAGGAATTCTACTCCAGCATAATCCCGCCTGTAGCAGCAGCCACCACAGGAGCCTGTGCCAGGGAGCGGCAGGCACTCAGGGATGCTGTGGGGCATCTTCCACCAGCTGAGACCACCCCCACATCCCATCCCCACTTCCCACCTCTTCAGCCCCTCCCAGAGGTAAAACGGGGCAAGAGAACCAGAGCCAGGGTAGACTCGCAAACTGGCCCCTGCCCCCAACCCTCTATATACTCAGTGTTCTTTCTGTTTAAAATTCAGGTAAAATTGTGGTTCCCACTGCCCCAATTTTTTTTTTTTTTTATCCCCACTTGAAGGTATTTTTCCCATTGCTTTTTAGAGAGAATGGAAGGGAGGAAGAGGTAGAGAGGGGGGGGGGGGGGATCTATGTAAGAGAGACACACCAATTGGTTGACTCCTGCATGCTCTTGGACCAGGGACAGGAGAGCAAACCTGTAACTCAGGTATGTGCCCTTGATCAGGAATCAAACCCAAGAACCTTTGATGCACAGTCTTGGTGATCTAACCACTGGGCAACACCAGCCAGGGCCCCCATTTCTCTTTTTTATTAACTGCAGTACATGAAGGATGAGGGAATAACACACACAGAAGAGAAGAACCAGGCATTAACATTTGCTTCTTCTAACTACCAAGAGGGGGCTGATACAAACCAAATTAGAACAAGATTAGCATTGTTTAAATTTGGCTATTGATAGCAAATAAATTACAACCTGGCAGATATCGGTTGAGAAGGTCAAGACTGCTAAGCATCTGGATGAGTTCAGAAGGAAAGCTTGAAACGGACAGATTAAAAATAAAAAATATATAAAGGACATAGGAAATAAATACACAAACGGTCCAGAAAATTCAACAAAATCAATTTGAGTCGGATAAGCCAATACAGCTAATCAGAGTTGTGCACAGTCGGAAGGTGAGAACGCGATGAGGCTGAAACGATAAATGAAATATTGAGAAGCCATTTGAAAAGAATCATTAGGTCAAACTTTCCCCTTTGATGGCAAATCTGCAAGCACGCGGCCTGTCAGAGGGGAGCGGGTGTGTCCCACGGGAAGCAGCAGAGGGAAAACAAGGGTGAGTTAGGGGAGAAAGAGAGGCGAACAAATCTGTCACCTGGTAATGAATGCCTGGAGTTGCAATCTTGGAAATACAGATGGTCAGGTATATTCTCATTTGCTGCTGCTTGTTTGTCCTGCCTGAGTAACTAACCAGCCTGCTCTTCTGAGCGAACGGCCGGTGCAGGAGGGCACTGCCACCTGAGTCAGCCGCAGGTCAGTCGGACTGCCTGTCACATCAGATTGCTCACACTGCGCTGACCCCTCCTCCCCTCAGGTCACCTTTAAGGGAAATGTTTAAAAATCCACTTCACCGCAAAGTAAAGGCTAGTTTTATCCATTTGATTTCTATTTAAAATATCCAAAATACAAGGGGAGGGATAAGAAATTTCCCATTTTTCCATGGAGTTAATACAGGGATATAATATTAGCTCATCTTTGAGAGCTGACTGTGGTGCCAGACAATTTTTTAAGGCTGTTTGGATATGAATTAACCCGTTTCGCTCTCACAACAACCATAAGGTAGGCACTATTATTCTTTTTCCTCAATTTAGACACTATTATTATCTCTATCTGCAGATGAGGAAATGAGACTCATAAAGATTAAGCTATTTGCCTGGGATCATACTGCCAGGTTTACCGCCCAGTCAGTCTGGCTGGAGACTGGCTGGAGTCTTGATTAACTAGTACCTACCAATGAAATAAAATAAAAGGTATTCCAGGCACCAACTTCTTTTTGATTACTAAACTAAAACAAGGTTTGTGGGTATGGGTGTTCATGTGTTCATATGTATATGCGATTTTGATCATGATGCTCGTGTATATTTGTAGATCACATCATTTTGTAGATACTTGCCTATTTATTCACTCAGTGAGCTTTCTCAGTAAGACAGGGATGAAGTGCTGAGTTCCCCCGCAGAATAAACCTGTGCTCAGAGAACACAGCATGCAGGAACACCTGTGTTATTTTCCTCTAAACTTAGAGATTTGTAGTCATGAGGAAAATCAGAATCTATTGCACTTGTTTGTACTTTGGATTCATGGGGTTTTGTGACTCGTCTGTGAAAAAGACGACAGAGCTGTGTCCTGGTCTTTTTAGGGCCTCGGATACGTGCCCTGTCTGTGGACACACGTTATAATGCATATGTTTCAATGTCCTAAAACACTCCTCTGGTCCAAAACTAAGTCACTCAAATACTCCACGTTCTAGAGAAAGCCCCCAGCGGCTGGAGCCAACATTTCCGTGAGGGCTCGTTCAGCAGCCGCAGAAATGGCCCTACCGCCCACCAGGTCCTCTCCATCACCCTGCCCACACCAGACCCCACCCAAGTTAACAGAGAACCAGGGGTGTGTAGGATGGTGAGGAGGCCAGGGGTGGAGGGACAGGATGGTTCCTTCCCCTTCCCTGAGTGAGAAGGGCGGGCTGAGCCATGAGAACCCTTCCTAAGGACCATGGATGCCCTCGAAGTGGGGTCTGTCATCACATGGCCCACTGGACTCCTGCGGAGCGGCAGGGGCACCGGCGGTGCCTGGTGCTGCCGCAGGGGGGAGCCCCAGAGAGGATGTCCTGGGGGCATGTCTGGAGCCTGGGAGTCTGGCATGATGTGGGAAGGAGGAGGGATCCCCGCCACCTGTCATCTGAAATTTGAGGTCCCTGTAAACAGGGAGCCTGCTGCCCAGCGAAATCTTGAGGTCCACCCCTCCAGTTTGCTGAGTTCTTAGGAGGCATGATGCCAGGGGCAGCATCATCCCTGAAGAAGAAGCATTGAAGGGCAGGTGCGTGAGGAGTGCCCAGCTGTGGCTTGCCCGTCTTGGAGAGGGGCTGGAGGTGTGACCACTGACAAGGTCAGGCAGGTGCATATCTGCAGGGGTGAGTCAGGGGTGGAGGGAATGGTCTTGTCCCAAGAAAACTACATGAGACACTGTGCAGAGAGCATTTCAACAGAGATCACCCCATCCGAAAGAGTCTGTCTGAACCAGGGGGAGCGTGGACTCAGGCCTGCCCGCCTAGGACATGCTAACAATCCTATAAAAACCCCTCAACGCCCCCACTTCCTCCTGAACCCCCACTCCAGAGGAATGAGGTTCTAGGAGAAAACAA